TGCCCCAGCAGGTCATCCTCAAGCTACTACAAAGCTGCTCAATGCTACGGCGAGGCTGCTGCGTCAGCGCCAAAACGCTCTTTGAATCTGGTTGCCCACCCGAAGCTGTAAAAAGTACTTGCCGTAATCGTGATCGATTCCCGTACTTTGTCCAGTTCAGGAGTCGGATCAAGGGGAGCCGTCCAACTAGCTAGCCCGTTGTAGATGATAAGTGCCACCGTAAACAGTTGCAGCACTCATTCAAAATGGTCCTGAGAGCAGCTGTGGCGCGTCTTTTGTTCGGTGACGTCGACAATAAACCCGCTTGACTTCTGATTGTGGCAAGTAATTCATGACCAGGATCGGGGATCGCTCATTAGAAATGCAATCATGCTCTTGCAGTAGAGTGGCGTAAACCTGTCACTGGCTTACTATTGAAGTTGACGGGTGGCTTACCGCAGTGAACGGCATTACTGCGCCGTCTGCCATTGCGATTTTGTCCCGAAGAGAACAGTGCCGTCGACAAGCACTCGCTTGTCGTCGACACTACCGCACATTTCGTTGTCTAATAACAATGTACTTGTGATGGGGCAGACTGCATAGCGACCTTGGTCATCAGGGCGACTTCAGGTTGTACATTAACTCGCGGACCTACGCAATATCAATTTACGATAGATAAAAAGGGGTGCAGTGATCGCTTGTGCGTACCCCCATAGCCAATTTTTACACCTAGTAGCCGCCCTCGACGATGCAATTACTCACTCATACAATGTCGATGCACGCCGTGTCGAGCTTTCGTCCATCTAGCTTCAAGCAAGCGACTAATTCGGTGGAGTGATTGCTGCTCAAACGAGAATCATAAGACACAACGGGATGAACAATTTGCTATTTTATGTTATGTGCAGACTCAAGTGATGCAAGGCGTGCGCGAGTGTCGTTGTATAGTACATCTACCACGACAGGCAAGCCGTATCTGAGAACTTACTATTGCCTTTTTAATAGTTCAACGACGATACAGCCGCACAAGTTACATGAACGCTGAGTTAGAAGCGGTAGCCACACTTACTTATAAGGGTACGTTTGATGTCCTTATCCCTCGTCTTGTCCTACCTTTTTCCTTGTACGGCAGCAGGAAGTATAGCAGACCGTGAAATCAGGAGGCCGCGCTTTCTATGAGAGGAATTCGAGTGCAGACTTCAAATGATGCGTCACGACATCGGTAGTGAGCCTTCATCGGGGGTCAAGCTTGTTGCGAACTTCAGTGCGAAACATGTTTTTAGCCGTGCAGGACAATAAATCAACTATTTCTTTTGTTCATACACACCGTACCGCTCATCGTGCCGAGCACACACAAAGATCTGAGTGTTCGAACAACGTGTCTATGCCTATGGCAACGCCATCCAGATATTGTGGAGGTCAATCGCAAAGCTGTCCCACGTATGCGGCGTCTTTGATGTCGAAGGATTTACAGATTGCGCATGCTGTAAGCCAGACGATAGTACGGATCTGAATGATCATCGAGACCGCTGGTTCACTTCGTGTCCTAAGTGCCGCGCTAGTTAACGTAAGTACTTCTTCGCCCATCAGCGAGTATGGATTAACTCATCATTTGGTCAAATGGTCACCAAGTCCAGCAGGTCGCTAGACTACACTACCTGGCAACCTCATCAGCAGACACTTCTTGTCGATAATTGATCGATTGACAGCTGAAAATCTTTAGACTAGCTTGATCATTCAAGTTAACACCACATGCCATCAACAAGCTCGTATCGCTGCTCGCTAGCATCAATCGTGACAGAACAAACGCTTTTATTTTATCTCGCAGCAGCCACCTGGCGTCGCTGCCGTCTCCTGCGTAGACCGTACACCTCAAAGATGTATGGAAATTTGTTGCCCTTTACGACAGCTACTATAACTACTAAGATCCGTTGCATCTTTACATTATTTAACCAATTCATCCAGTCAAGCACGTATCGTCCACGTGCCTTGTGTGCCTTGATACTTCACGAACAACAACAGTAGCTATACTTCGTGACTCGTTGTCACTGTCGCACGTGCAGTAGCAGACTTTACGTTGTGGATTACATGGGCCTGCGCCAGTAATTTATAGAGTGAAGATTGCCACCGCACGTGCATCATGGTTCTATCCCTTACTGGCTGGGCTAGACAGGCGGACAAGAATAGTTTCATCATCTAGAGGTTTGTTATTACAGAGAGTATTACTGAAGGTGACATGAGCTGTTCTGGTAACAGTCGACGAGCTATGATCGAGGCTGATGATGTTGAGATCATCGGAACATAAAGACTCTGACACTCCAATGTTCGGAGCACTAAATAACTTGTCAGCCGATCGCACCAACAGTGCTTCTGTTTCCCAGCAAAGGTGAGCTCCTGAATTTCGGAGATCCACTAGGAACAGTGCGCGTTTCTCCTAACTTCTTAGGCTTCAAGTCAATCCTTCGATCCGGGTATTCTATCCAGGCCATACCAATGATGATGTCATTAACCAAGGATTAAACAGCGCTGGTAGCTATCACAGTCCCACAACGAACGCCTAGGTTCACATCAACTTTGCACAGTGGCTCGTGCCCGTCGCTAAACTCACGTCAAATGTATCAGCCTCCTGTCTGTTTACTGCATCAGCATATCGCTGACTCCATCCAACGGACTATCGTCGATCACAGCTACCAGACGCTCCAGAATCAATGATAACCAACTTACCGATTACCTTCACAGTTGCTGTAGCGACTATCGAGCCTGGCTCGCACACACGCTCCAGGTTACGAGATGCTTTTGGTGTTCAGACCGTGTTTCCATACCCTTCTAGAGGCTCATCAGAACAATTCCTTGCACGAAAGGGCGTACGCGCCAAATGGGAGTCGTCGTCCTCCCACATCGATTCAGATTTCCTTGGTGTGAGGCGGGGATTCGGCTTTACGGGGCCTATGAAAGGGCTTCGCGACGATCACCCTGTACGAAGACGTAGTTTGATCCTGCAAGTATAACATTGACGGGTATAATGCGCTGATCATTCGTGTAAAGCTCTGCTTCTCTGTCTTCAGCAAAGCGTTGCGGTCCATCAACTCGGACCTGTAGTTGGAAGCGATATGTAAACAGAATTCGAGCTGTACCGTTTCCACTTAAACAGAGCTGACTTAAGGCGACATTCGACATGCAATGCTACGCTCTCAGCCTCGCCCAACGGGGCGGGGTAGACACGAAAACAGTTAATTATTCGTGAGTCCTTACTCTTGGACACAATCTTTCAGCTTGTTCTTACCCTGGTAGGCAACTGAGAATCGTGATCTCAGCAAAATGCATGATCAGGTGTCGCGGGCACGAGCGGAAACGTTATACTTCAGCGAATCCTATGCAGGCAATTCCACGTCTACCGACGTGGGACGTGTCAGTGCCCGTTCTGTAGCTTTCACCGAGCTCGATACAGCCATCAGTGTTGATCACGTCCAGATCTACCTCGCGGATCCAGAAGAGAAGATTTTCTCTCTTTTGCATCGTGTCAAGGAAAATACCGAGTGAATAGTCTACTAGCTCTAGTTTAAGGAACTCATCAGTCGAAGCATCAAACGGTGGCTAGCTCTACAAACAAGCGGCAGAGTGCATTATAGAAAGATCCTCAACTCATACTGGTCGAACAAGCACCTGACTCGTTACTGATCGTAACTTGTGAGCTGATTTTATTCATGATTCACGGGCGGTCATCAGAATTGCCTGAGTAGCAGCGTAAGCTCATCGCATCACGCACCCACCTTGTACCCGACCTCTCGGTAGGAGTATCCACCTACAACTGATCAGGCACGTCATTGCCGCTAACGCTTGTAACCTTTTTACGATACAATCTGCCCCCAGGGTCTGATGATCCTTAGACTCGCACACCGTTCCAGTGGATCTGTACAGCAAAGTAGAACGAAACATTGGACGCGGCAGTAGCGTGATGCGGTGTCCGAGTGCGAAGTCAAGTACGTTAACAGCAGTAAACAGAAAGATAATGCGTTTACCTGCGTTACGATAAACATCAAAGACGACAAGCCGTAGATTTGTGAAACTTGACGAGGGCTGCTTTCATACACGGGATTAGTCACGCAATAAGGTCGTAACGATGACTACACCCACCGGGTTATAGTGTCCCCATCCCAGGTCAACCAGCTCCCCGAATAGTAAGTAAGGAATAAGGAGACGTGTGGCTTGTCGTACGTTAACGCATCTCATCATCAGATGCGAGTAGCGGGGCGTTCCACATTGCTTCAAACTTTGATCGGTCTGCGTCACATCTGTCTTCGATCTCAACTGTCCTTGGCATTTCGCAACTTTTGAATCGGAGACTGTACAGTTGAAGAATGCTTTGTGTGGGGGACACGCGTCCTCGATTGAGGCATTGGGTCAAGTCGAATCGACAAGCGTTGATGATTCATGAGGCTCTTTGGTCACCATAGGACGCTGTGTCATCTAATGGGAACAGCGTGGATAAGGAAGAATTCATCTCGCCACTTTTCATGATATTGTAAAAGAGACGACTCACCGAGTCCACTGAGTTTAGCATGACTCATTGAGTCCATGACGATGGTTACTTTCACCTTGGTATCGAGATGAGGTTCATGAACCATGTAGCTAAATCATATGCAATGGTTGGGCGCTTCACCGTCTTTTCATTCTATCGACACTGGATGCAGTTTTTACTTGAAATGAGTGAAATAATACGATCGCAAACAGGTACCAGTAGCAGCACTTACCACAACGTGATACTAAGGCTCGACCTATTTTGTTGGTGTCGTCGCAATTAAAGCAGATTTGTCGACCAGCTCTTTTGACTGAGCTAACTTGTTGTGCCATAAGCCATAGCGTCTACGAGCATTCATCAACATCGCGTTGTTGTTCATCTGTTCATAACCCCAAAGCCACATCGTATACGGTAGTCACCCTGTCAGATCTCACCTTCCATGCATGTGCCTGCCTGACTCCTCTCGACAGTATCATTCCATGCGAAACCAAACAGACAGCTCAGGCTAGCGACGATAACGGTCTCGACCACGCGAGCGACGCTCGTTACCGGAGCCCGTCCGAGCATCCGTCAGAAACTGGTCAAGTCCGTATGGATCATCGTCGCTGTCCTTGCTAGGCGATCGACGTCGACGCTTGCGGTCGTCACCTCTGCTGCGAGATCGAGAGTACGATGTCGACCATCGACGGCCACTGCGGCCGCGCGAATACGATGGAGACCGCGAACGAGCACGAGGGCGACCACGCGCCCGCGATATCGAAGGAGAACGTGAAGGTGAACGCTTACGTCCACGAGGTGCAAAACGGTCGCGACTTCTCCGACGAAGTGGCGAGGGGGATCGACCACGTCCACGAGAGCGCGGTGGCGAACCAGACATCGAGCGCGGACGACCCCTTGAACGCGGTGGTGGTGAGCCAGAGGGTGAGTGCGGGCGACCTCTTGAACGTGGAGGTGGTGAACGAGACGGTGAGTGCCGCCGACCCCTTGTTGAGCCAGATGAAGAGCGGCTTCGACTGCGCGAGCGAGGCCGCGAAGCACGACGACGCGACTGCGATTGTGCTGGCGAATTCGATGGTGAGCGGGCCTTTTTCCTCGACCTCTGTGGAGAGCCCGGTGGTGAACGTCGCGCATCGTTTAGGCTGGCAAAAGAGGCACGAGTCTTGCTAGTGTCCTCATCCTCCTCGACCTTCGCGTCGTCGTACGAGAACTGTACGGGACCATCACGAGCTCCGCCTCGCGCCACTACTTCAGTACCTCGGAACTGTTTGTCAGCCTTAAAACGCTTTGCGTGACCGCCTTTCAACTCGTCGTACTCCTTATCGGCATCAAACGAACCATCAACGTCCTTCGGACGGTACACACTGGCTTTGCCACGGTCCACCATCGGCTTCGAGTACACACTGTACTCGTCCTCTTGGCCAAAGCCAGAACTGATGCCCTGAGATTGATTGAAAAGCCGCGAGTCAAACATGCCGTCGCTGCCACCGGCCTTGCCACCACCTTGAAGTTGACCAAGCGCAATCTTCTCGGAAATATCACGGTCTTCATCACGTGCCAATTTGCCCTTCTTGCCCAATTTCTCCATGCGCATTTCGCGCTCACGCTCTTTCTTGCGCTCCTGACGGATGCGATCCCGTTCTCGCCGTCCTCTCACGTCACTATCCGGTTCTTCCTCATCACTGGATTTGTGTCGACGTGCACTATCGACGCTCGCCGAGCGTCTACGTCGACTCGGACTGCGATCATCTTTTTCTTGTCCGCCACTGGCACGAGGCCCTGCACGCTCCATCCGTGCCTTCGACGCGAGCTCCCGCAACTCACTCTCCTTGTGCTCTTTCTGCTTCATCGCGAGCTTCTTCTGCACTTGCGCGCGCATGTTCACCTCTTCTCTCGCCTTGCGTTCAGCGATCGCCAGTGCTTCAGACAAACTAGCAAAATTATCGTTCACCGTCACTTGCTGCAGACCGCGTCCGTCAGCTGCCAGGCGCTTGTCCAGTGCAATTGTAAACCCTTTCGAGTTCTTCCAGTTCGAGATACACGGCGGAATCTTCCACGATTGCTGATCCGTGACTGTGAGTTTACGTGGCGGGGAGTGCAGCACCGGGACAGGTGGCGACGGCGGGCCACGAACGGCTTTGGTGTGCTGGAATTTCGGCGGTTCCATGGGGTCTTTGGCCACGTCCACCATCCGGATAATCCGCTGCTTCAAACCTCCACCAGCAGCTCCAGCACTTGATTGGTCATTGGGTGTGTACCGGATATACTTGGCCGTCTCCTTGGCGGGTTTTTGGTGCCCTACACTGGTCGGAAGAGCACTTCGGACCTTGTTCTGGACCAGAGCTTGAAGGGCTTCCTGGGTCCGGGCGGCTGTAGCCATCTCTTCTTCTGCCAAGGGCAGGGCGAAGTCTTCAGCTTCGGTGCCATGTTTCTCGACAATGTCGCTGAATTTGGTGTACACTTTGTGTGTACTGCCGTGCTGGTGGGTGACAATGGCGTCGTAATTAACGTGGCCCGTGTCGGCGTCAACACTTAGGGCAAGGGTTCCGTTGTGGGTTGATACGGACTTGCCCTTTTTACCCATTTCTAACGGAAATTGGGCCACATGGAGTTCGGGGTACGCCCCACCGTCGCCAAAGTCCGCCTGGCGCCGCGGGACGAACTGGCTGGTGACCCGCAGAGGATAGCGTGGGATTGTAGGTGCACGTGTGCGTTCGGAGGGATCTAGCGCAGGTGTGGACGCCGTTTCAGCGTCCGTGAAGGTCGGGTACGAACGCACGGGCGCTGGGAACAACGCGCTCATTGCTGGAGTCTTGATATGTGGCGTGGTGGGGGTCGTAGTAGAAATTGAGTAACCTTATAGAAATGAGATGTTTTGGTGGAAATCGGTGAGCTTGATAAACCTCAAAATCCGGATCTTTTTATGCTCGTAAGAACTAGGGCTCCGTCCCGCGCAGGACGGGATGGGACACTAAATACTGCGGGATGAGGTCGTTGAACAGTTTTCTCTACCTAAATTTCGTAACGACCTGATATGCAAACACACGATCACCTTCAGATGCGCAAAGGGTACCAAAGAATGAGAATAGTAGCGATCTGGGATTGATGCTTACCTGTTACAACAAGTGTAGAAGCAGAATGCCTAATCCACTTGACCCTGATTGGTACTACTGATGACATGCTCATGTAAGCAGGGCTCTTTTTAAACGAGGTAGTAACGATTTTCGACGATTTACCACACGCATCAACATCAAACGCAGTTAACTTTTAGTGAGTAGCGACGTCTTGAAGCATGATATTGGCCGGAATCTTAAGCTGTTGCTATTGATCAAAATGATTATGACGCTTATCGGAATCGTACAACCTCTCGACGAGGCTTTCAAGTGATGGAATTATTATAAAAAGTAATCCACTTTATGTTGAAGTCGCGATGCCCTAGTAGGCTAACGAGGTCCATCGGATCGTCGCTAGGGGCACGGAGATCGTGTTTTCAAGCGTCCACTATGCCCGGACGAGTGCCTTTGCAGAAAGGATCTATAATGGAAAAATAATTCTTAATTGCGAGCCTGGAAAGTGAAGCTAATAGTGACTGAGCGCAAGTTTGAATGCCAAACTTTTACATCGTTCTTATCTGTGTGTGTGTGTGAAAATAAAGCGGTCAGGTGTACCTCGCATGTACCAAGTGCGATCTAGCCTGTCCCCACCACGTAGGTATGTGGGCATAATTAAGTCACTCTTAATCCAGGAAACTTTTGGACGCACGCACGTGATTGGCTTAAACTCGATCAAAGGTGAATATGATCACGTAAGCAAATGCTGGAAGCTCATAGCAAAGACTGATTTCGTTTCAAAAGTATACTACTAAGTTAATTTAGACATGAACTGCATTGTATTCCTTCTTCAGTGACTGCTGCTGTTGTATAGTGTTTTGCAACTTGATTCAGCTCACCGCTGGAGCTCGCCCTTTGATATAAGCAGTCACCGCACTTGACTACTTATATCAAGGGGCGAGCTCCAAAGCTTGCTATCTTATCTTAGAATAAGGAATACATGTCAAATAGACGGCGCTTTCGTTTTACTCTCTTGTTTTCCATAAAATTATGTCATCGCAGTAAAGTTATAGAAAATCGACGTCAAATAGTAAGACAATCATAGACTGCGGGATGTGCAGGACGTGCGGGATGAAAACGGCTCATCCCGCATCTCATCCTTCGCGGGCTAGGACGTTGAGGGACGGATCCCTAGTTATAATTACTTCTTTCTTCTTGCTTCTTGATGTATCTTTTTAGCAACTGTTCGAGTTGAGTCATTGAAGTATGCTTAATTGCCGTATACACATGATAGCGTCTTGTGGCGCTCAATTTTAAGATAAAAAAACGCTCAGCTTGCAGTGCAGCAACTGAATGCAGATCAGCACTGTAACGGGGTGACTCCGTTACATGATACTTTAAATGAGGTACATACCAAGTATTAATATTATGCTAGAGCATCAGAATATTCTCACAAATCGTCTTGATAGGTAATAATGTGTTGCAGAAGCAATGCACTGCTCATTGGTCGATGAGATTTATGATATCACATGATAAAGCCGAGTGAAGACAGAAGAACGCAATGAGTGGTGAGCAGATAGTCACATTACATGTTCGTATTTGGATATAGCTAAGAGAAGACCAAAAAGCTGTAGCAACACCGGAGATTAGTTATACTCAACACAGACCTACTTTTACCCTTCATCTCGTGTTTAACCTTTCTCTGCACGACGCATGTAAGTCTTGAGACACCTCCTTACTCTGTGTTCAATGTAAGCAGCTTGTACTACGACAGCACAAGTGAAAGGTGCTCCGTTACGCCTGGTATCACTTTGTAGTCCGTCCAACGACAATGAACCTGTTGGTTGATGAAGCGGAAGACTTCCATCTAACGCACGAGAGCTACTCTCGGTTGAGTCATTTCAAATGAGATACAATCAGACATTTATAAATAAGTGAAGACTAAATTGGTTTATCAACATGAGATTAATTATGCTGTTTACAGTTCTACTTTTAATCTTCATCTCGTGTTGAAACCTTCCTCTGCATAACGCATGTACGTATAGTCTTGTGGCACTATCTTACTCTGCGTTTGATGAAATCACTTTGTACTACGATATTACAATCATCGGTGACCCGTTTCAAGCACCGATAAACTTAGTACGGTAATGTAACGAGGCAACGACATATTGTATTGTCACAGTACAAGCTGCTTACATTGAACATAGAGAAAGGTGGTGCCGCGAGACTTCACTTACATGTGTCGTGCAGAGAAAGGTTTCAGCACGAGATGAAGATTAAAAGTAGAGCTGTATACAGTATAATTAATCTCCTTTTGATAAACCAATTTAGTCTTCACTTAGCTGCACCTGAATACGAATATGAATTGTAACTATCTGCTCACCACTCATTGTGTTCTTTTTGTTGTGGCTTGGCTCTATTGGTTGATATTATTACTCATATCAACCAATGAGCAGTAAATTACTTCTGTGTCACAATTTTACCTATCAAGTTAATGTTGTGAGGATATTCTGCCTGTCCTGACAGAGCTTTCGTACTTGATATACCCCATGTAAAGTATCATGTACCGGGGTCACTCCGTTAAGTTACCCCCCCTTCCCAAACCATCATTCATGTTAGTGACTAATTGATGATTGAATGACTATAGTGAGTAAATAGGGAAAAGCAAATCTTGTGTCAGTCACTTCCAACCATTTCTTCGTCCTCCTGCATGGAGTGTACGTCCATTTAGTACGCGGCCAAGGCCGCTAGGAACGCAGCAATGAGTCTCCGCTCTGCTACTTAAGGGGAAGCAGAGGCATCAAAATCAACTGGTGACAAATTTCTGCTACTTCTTTCAATTGACCTGCAGCAGTCACTTCGGTAGGCGCATGCGGTTATGCAGCGCATAGTATAGGAGATTATGATACTGAGTATAAATACACTAGTGAGTCGGATGGCTACACTAAATCGAAGAAGAAGAAATTCGAGGATGAGCCAGAAATGGCTAGACTGAAGCGACTAAGTCAGCTTTATAGCGAGGTATGAGTCTCGCTGAACATCGTAACATCTTCGGGTCGTCCGAAAATTCGAAACCTCCGTCTCCGAGGCGGAGCCGTTTGATCGACAGTGAGCGAAGCGGTGTCTCGGGCCACCGCAACGATAAAGACGGTGATGCGATCATGCATCATATTCCAAACGATTGTGATGATAAAGCTGTCGGTACTTCTGCTAACACGCGGCAAGAGGCTACAGATTGCAACATCTTGTATGAGTAGTAGCTGTGTCTGCCTCATCAGCAAGTTCTGGATCGCATTTCTGATACGGTAAGACGACGTGATGCATAAAGCTGTTTGTTTCAATGCGGCTTCATGGCATTGACTTTACTTGAGTGACTTACGCACTAAGCATGATGTCTTCGTCGATGTGCTATTCTAACATCGACGGCACAGCGAGAACCATAACCGTGACGCATCCTCGCTGATCCAGGCATGGAACGCGTTCAATTACAACGTTGGTGAGATTGGATGAGATGCATGGATAGGCAAGTTCATCCGATCGCACATTAGGTTTGAGACGAAAACCTCCACCGATGCATGCTATAAACTGCATCGATTATCAAGAGAGGACGGGTTTCGATGCCTCTCCTGGGGTGATCCGTGACAACGTAATGTGAAAAACCTGGCACGAGCTCCAAAAGATACTTACTCTATAACAGTCCCCCGGTGGAGGGCGCGCGTCTCTCATGAAATGCATGAGGAATTGGTTGGTTTGCTAATACCTCTACAAATGCGATAGGCGTTCGGTTACGATGTACCGTCCTTATTATCGGATGAACCTTTTAGTACTGCTGGACAAGGCCTGACGCACCAACCAGAAGTTGAGATCTGGGCTCCCAGGTATGTGCCGAGGGTGGATAGCCGTGTCACCGTACGAGGTAATTTGTCCGACGTCTCTTCACATCACGGTGGGTCAACAGGCGTTCTACGAGAAAACGTCGACGACCGCACGCATAAACCTATGGATGAGTTGAGGAGTGAACACGTTCTCTGAAGGAGTTGAATCATCAACCTGATGTTGTGAGTCAGATTGTTTGCTTAACGTGAGAGTTAATCGAGGACCTCATACACGAGAGGGGCATGCGTTTATATTTGGTTGGCATTGTGAATCGTCTCTACTCGTTTTAGGATAAGATGCATATCAGAGTGTGCTTCTGCCCGGCTGGCAAATGAGCGGGTATAGTGATCTCTTTGAGACAAGATGGGGGGAGCTCGTCAGGATATCTCTCAGCTTCGCGGGGAGATATCCGAACTTCAGATGCAGGCTGAGAGTCAGCACTGTGAGCACAAGTATATGTCAATGATGCTTGTACACGAGGGCTTTTTCAGCGGAAGAAGCCCTGTAATGGTAGTACGGCCTGATGCGGCCGAAATAGAACGTAGGATGCTTGCGCATCTTACGTGGCAGTTCAATCGTGTATGCCTTGCCTAGTCGACGCAGCTCACAAAATGGACCGATGAACTTGGGTGATAAATTACTACTACCCACGTAATACATTATGTGTCAAGATAAGTTTACTGTAGATAGTAGAAACAGGTCGCATTTATTGAACAAAAGAACATTTGATCTTCCATTCTTGTCAAAGTTTTGCCTTTGTCGATCCACCGCCTCTGTGATGGAGTCTTGTACGAAACGGACAACCTTTCGCGAGCCAGCATAAATTCATCTGCTGACTCGCTGTCTTTGAATACATCTCTTTTGGAGTACATTGCGG